TTTCGTCTTACCTTCCTGGTATCATCCAACTATCTCCACTTTTTTCACCATCATCAATCAGTCGCAAAGTCCCATCGGGCATTTGCAGTTGCAGGTCATTGTCAGGGTTGCCATCAGCGTCACCCAATAATCCGCATACTTTGCCATATAATGAAGGATCAATCTCTGTAACCAGGTTACCAAATCCATTCCAAGATAAACTGAATTTATTAGCGACCTCAACTTTTATGTGTCTGCTATCCTTTTGCTTAATGTTGATTTGGTCTCCGTCTGTCCAGGGAAGTGAATTCGAAACATGTTTGCCGTTGACCTGTAATATAACGTGATAAGTGAGTACACTATTTAATTATATGTGAAACCTATAATAGTCAAATTTATATCCAAATCCCATAGTTAAAAATGTATTTGTAAAACTGTGAAATCCGTAATACATTGATTGAAAATGTTGATGACGGGTAGAATAATGATTGTTACCATGAACAGACTGTATTTATTCTAAATTGTATAATGTACTCACGTAAACGTCATGTCGTTGTGCTAGCTGGATCAAGTGGGTCTTGCTCTTAATCAGTACATCTGAAACCTGACTATGAATCTTGCCTTTTTTCTCGACAAAGCTCGAATATTTTGTAGCTACTATGAACGACGGATACTGTACGCATTCTTTAAATAGTATGTATGTGCAGTTCTGACCAGTATGAGTATAACTAAACAAGTCGAAAGTTGTGTAATGAGGATCTCCTTTATCCTGTGAACGGTTAGGAGAAAAAAAGATCAATTAGTCTGAATCCGATGCCAAACATATAAGTAATGCTAACAGTCTGGAAACATAAAATCATAGCAAACGCTTAAACGCCTGACATTCACAACATAATACCTAAATTACTGTAATTCGAAGAACGTGCATGTTCGAGTAAACCATTGAGTCCCATGCAACACAAAACTATGCAACACTACAATGTGTTTAAATTCATTCATTCATTCCATGAAAGTGTGTAACAATTATAACTGATTGAACTAACTTACCCGGAAGCACTATACAATGAGGCATAGTCCAAAAGAAAATGTATTATTAGTCGACAGGGTTGTTGAAAAAAATGAACATTATTACTCGTAAAATAGCGGACAATTAACTAAAAGTTACATATTGCGTTTTGTTCATTTCCTGGTGAACACTGATGATTGAAAAGACGCGTTCACGTAAATTATTAGAATTTGAACAGAATTACTTACGTGGATGTGGTGGTGGTGTCACTGTTTCCAATATAATACACATGTAAAATGTAATAAAAAGAAAAAAATGATTGTCAGTGTTATATAAAATAATTTCCCACAAGATCGATTGGTGATTTAATACACTATTAATCTATCAGTGTTAGTGATATACAGGTTATGGTATATGTAATATGCTACGTTCGCCAATGAAAGTAAAACGAATTTACCAGAAATATGAATTAAAAGTGCACCTTTTTCGAGAACTGAGGAAAATTGCATAAAAAATAAGAAATGTGCTGTACAATCTGAGATCACTACTGATAACACATACACGAATTAATACATATTCATCATTCATGCAGTGAAAATCAGTCTTGTTAGACAAATTGAGCTAATTTACAGTGTCAGTTACATTGTGACCACCAATTTCACATTTTGTTCCATTTCTATCGAGTTTGAAGTGAGAATTGGTGGGAATTTATATAAGTATGTTGTGATTGCATTAGTCAAAAAGACAAGACATATACCAACACTATTAATATATTTGGTTTGATTGTTTTTTCACTGATATCTGGGAGGTAGTTCAGAACAGTAAATTCACCATCAAATTCGATGAATTCTTTTAAATATTCAATTCAAACATTAAAGTCCCCCAATGAAAAAATCTCATTCAAGGAGAAAGAATGTTGAATTTCAGTTTGTCATGTTTCAAAATAATCATCCTCATAATATGTTGCAAATAAGATTAATACTGTGTTTTAGAATTGTGAATAGTTATTTTGTGGCGTATTTCATATGTTTGATTGATAACATCTCCACAATTATATAAGATTAACTGTGGCGTAGTGTTGCTGCGTGGTGTAGTGTGTATTGCTCTTTTTTTTTATAGAGTTTTGCTGTGTTCTGCTGTGCTGTGGTGTGCTGTGTTGTAAAAACAAACATACGTACCTGGTACACAACACTTGCAATTGACAGAGCATAGTTCTGGTTTGTCTTGCCATTTTTCAGTATCCAAACAAGTTTCTTTACATGTACCACCATACTTACAAAAACAATCATCCGTGTCTGCTCTCATCACAGTTCATCAAACGTCATCCGAAATAGAATAGAACAAAAATTAGCTTAGAAATATGAAAAAAAGAATAGATCATCGGACGTAGTAAACATGACCACTATGTACAATTTTCATCGGAGTTAAACTTTTGAACCTTTGAACACACAGGTTTCACCAAAGCTCATTAAATAATACTTTGAGGAATATACATATATTTCGGCAACTGTTACTCACTGTACATTTAAGTTTTATAACATATCAAACATGTATACATTGAACAAATTTATTGTGGAAAGAATATATTTACATATATATATAATTTTCAGTTGTGAATTCCATTTGACGGGTTTATTGTTTTTTTTTGTTCTACTGTGTCATAGTGTCACTATTTATACATATTTAATCAATTTGTTTAAAAAAGGATACTTATTAAATACTCTGTAGGATGTTTTTCCAATTTATATGCAATCAAAGTGTTTAAATACACATTTGTTTTCGAAACCTCAATTTTTCAACCAACGTTTGATTATTGGCAACACCGTTGCTTTTGTTTTAATGTTGTGTCAATATTGAGTTATTGACCAAATATATATGCTCACTAACAACATTATAAACTCAGTTGAAGTGGATTCAGCAGATTGTTTAAGTTCTCACAAATGTGTCACAAAATGTGTTTTCATATTTCATATTATACCCTAAATCATTTTTAACTTACTCTTGTCAGAGACGCACGGGTATTTAATCTGTTCAAGAGTATTCTTAGCTGAAAAATAAACACTTCAAGTTAGCATCATTGTACAAGTAGTAAATTAAAATTAAGCAACTGATTGAAGGGATTGATGAAAACTATATGTACTTCTTTATGTGTAATATCTTGATTTAATATATGTATATCAGAAATGTTTTTCATAAATATGCAAATTTTTTTATTTACATTTTATCGTGTGGGTCACTCCAATGAATTATTGGAAATACATTTGTCATAGCCCCTCAAAAATGAGTCTGGCTGTTCATATAATTTCCCTTCTAATAATTTCTAGCTGTATCAGAGTGCATTGGTTTGCTGTATAATGGCCGGATATAATGTAAAGGGTGACTGCATTGCAATATCAAGCAAGAACTGGCTCATGTTTATCAATTTCTATTAATATCATCTTCTTCTATTAATATGCTGGTGCAAACTTAGTGTATTTCACCAATGATATATCTGTACTTTACAATAGCTTGCATAAATTAAATTAGTATGTCATCCATTCAGAACAGATCATGACGGCACCATATGTACTGATATAATGTAGTGTACAAATATATTAAGATATATGATACTTACTCGTCTCACTAGCACAACATTTGCAGTTACAGCCTTTCACGACATTACACTTTAAATCGTAGGTACTATTTCCATTAATTTGAAATTCAGAATGATCTTCATCAGGATTACATCGTTGCCTACACGATCCCGCAAATGATCTTGATTGTCCATTTATATCCATGTAAGTCGCGCAAACCTCGCCTAGATTAAAAAGTAGTAAATGACGCTCAAATTTTAAGGAAAAAATTTAAATTTAACGAGCAATTGTTAAATAGATCGTACTTATTTTGTTATTATTCAACTTAACGAAACTCCTCGATGTGTCGGTTACTTCTAAACTAAAAAATAAAAACATATTTTAGTAGTCTTGGACTGGGAAAAGTTCACAACAAGAACTTGTATTTTGATCGCCGCCCGCTGATCTATGTGTGCTCCGTGTGCTGTTTGTAGGACATAATTTTTAGACCTATCTGATCAGCTTTTGTTGCCAACATCTCTGTTGATTTTTTTCACTTTGATCACTTTAGATTAAATAGCGAACATTTTACTACCCATAACAATAATTCAACATAGACGCTGTAGGTCAGTGTCATTTCAAAACCGAGCCGATGGATATCACATAAGGTGTGTCAGGAGTTTATTCAAAACTTAAAAATTTTCGAAATCAGTCATCAGTCGGCACGTATAATCTATTTTAATTATTTCTTTACTACATAATGATAAATTAAACTTGAATACATTGTGAAAATAAACTAATCATAAAACTGTGCAATCAGCAATAAATTTACGCTGATAGTGTCTAGTGGTTGCAGAGCGTTTTACGCGTTCAAGGACGTTCTTTTTTCAAATTGTATTGACTTTATTATGTTAGTTTTTGTTGTTCCAAATACTTAGTTATGTATAACACTAAGTATTTCACCTACATGTTTACGAAATATGTAACTAAAAAATAAGTCAAGTTGATAGCGATGGGCGCTATTTAGCAAAAATCAAATACGTATTGTTGTAAACATTTATGGCCAGTTAATGATGCATGTCATTATGTTTCGCGATTTACTCAAAATAACCAAATAAAATGGTGGAAATATGTGTTAAACATTAATTTTACGTACCCTTAATCATTGTCGGACACGTGATTGAGCTAAAAAAAGATTATTTTACACAAAATCGGGAAATATTAATGACTTTGGAAAATAGTTTACTTTACGCCAATTTTCGTATTGTATATTTGTTAATCATATATACTAACACATTAGGATATATATTAAAAATGAAATTAAGTTGAAGTTGAACTTTCTCTGATTTTATACGATGTAGCAAACAAAAAGTAAACAATAATAGTTGAAAAGTTATACTTACCATTATTGCATATTTCAGCGAGAGCACGATCATCTCCTGAAAACATGTTGTGATAAATATTCAGTTAGATGCAATGCGGTAGAAGACAACAAATGTATTGTTTAGTTGGTCACGCAATCAAATCATCATTTATGAAATTTACACTTCAAGAATTGAATTACATCGACATTGTAGCTTTATACATACTTTACACTAATAACCCATGTAATGCAAGTAGTGTTACAAATCACATTTAAATTTAATAAAGCAATGCTTTTAACTGTCATTACATTGATAGCGAATGAGACGCTTGTCATGGGTGTGTGGTTAGATGTAAACAGGATGAATATTATAATGTAGTATCGTTAAGTGCAATTTAATTAAAGAGAAATTAGTACATGGACATTCAACAATTAAAAACGACGAATACATCACAATTAAAATAAAATGTATGTCCGGCTTAAACTTACTCTGGAAGTATCCACTGAAAAAGCTATCCAAACGTCTTTCCTGTAACAATATAAATTGAATTATATTAGTATTGTGTCACTTGTTACTAATACTCCACGTTTGTTTGTGTTCTACTCCTATTCTGAATATGTTTTTCTTAAATTCAAGGGCCTACACTGTTTTTGATAGAAGAGCTCCGACCATTCTTTCCTACATCTATGACAATACCTTATGTATAGTTCGCTCACATTACTTCATGTTCACCATGAGGTCCATATATCTTGTTTCTCTACTTACATTTGTACTGAAGTGTACCTGTTATGTTTAGTGACTTTGGAAAATATGTCAGTTGTTAAACTGATCGTAGCGTAACATTTCGATTGTTTACAGTAATTTGTCATTAAATTTAATTTGATGAGTATAGATCAGGTTATTGTTTAGTAATTCGCTTGGTGCTTACTTGAGTCAGGCAAACTTATCGAACGTCATAGTTCAATTACATATCAATTTCAATATCGGTTTGAAAATAACAATAAATAAGTTTTTGAAAACATTCGACGGAGAAGAAGACGAACACACAAAATTATTAATAGCATAGTTAAGTCAAACTTCCATATGATATACCAATGTGTGCTATACTAACCATATTCACATACTAATGATATTGACATTATGTCCGATCAAATGTGACATTATGCCAAGGATTCGACCAAGGAGTTGGAAGTACAACATTAAGTCAGAGACAAGCAATATGTACATTTAGTGCAACCCTGGGCCTTGACAAAAAATACTAAAAAGACTCAATGTTTGTATAATGATACCGAACTTCAAGCCTAAAAGAATTTACCACTAAGTTTTTTTATTTTTGGCGCGAATCGTCATTTACATGTAAAACTAGCGTATTCATGTTGTCCACGTGCCACACGAATCGCAACTACGGATGTAAGTCGGTCACATAATCATGACTGGTGGTGTTTTGTTAAAGTGGAGGCGATGCCAGACATCGACCGATAAAACTAAACACTTAGGTTAAAGGAATACGCTGCTATTCTGAATGTCCTAACATGAGTTAAAATATATATCGTACACAAATCATACCAAAATGATAAAAATTTAATTTTGAGATGATTTCGAAAAATAAAAAAAGCGAAAGGCCCCGAGGAACTATCAGTATGAAACCCATACTAAAATCTATAATCTGTAGTATGCTCATTCATTATTTTATTCAAATAAGATATACTTCTTACCTGCAAATAGTCAATGATTTATTTAACTCAAAAACAACAGTATAACAAAGTGTAACAACAAAAAATATATACTGTATTTTCACTTGGAATTTAAAAAGCTCAACCGCATTGACGCATACCATTTTATAAGTCTCATATTCTATTTTGATGGATTTTGAACGGAAGGAATGTGACCAGAGAAAGTCGTGGCTTTCAAGAATGCCGAAAGCCCCAACAAACGCAACTGGAGTACGAAGTTCATGTGGTATGGTAACATATTTCTCACGGTTCGACTAGCGACTATAACGCAACGCCTTCCATTATTAACCGTAAAAGATGCAGTATGGGAATGGTCGCAATGCGCTCGACACGATCAAAGATCGATAACCATGCTATTCATTCATGGCATACTTTGATACCGACACTGAAATAGTAGTAGCCGCGAGCCCAGTTGGTCTAGGAGCAATGCTCACTCAGAAAAAAGTTACGCGAGCAGATTACTCACTCCCGTCGAACAGAGATATTCACAGACAATATGCGAGTCGTTGGTTGTTATGTGGGCTAGTGAACATAATCATGTATACGCATATGGCAAACCTGTAACCATAGTAATTGGTCACAAATCACTAGAACGTTTCTACAACAATTCTAACGGTATACCGCCAGTCAGAATCAAGAGCTTGGCTGTCCGTCTACCAAATATGCCGGGAAAGACAGCCCTGCCCATGATTACATGTCGAGACACCCGAATACGAAAAGCGCGCCTAACAAAAAATCTAAAGAAACTCACGGAAGAATATATCAAATTTATTTCTGGTCATGCAGCACCCATGGTGCTGGATGAAATCAAAGTATAAACGAAATGTGATACTACTCTTCAAGCCGTAACCATGACAATTAAAACTGATAGATGAAACGACCACAAGGATTCTACAGACATCAATCAAATTGCGTTCGAAATGCTGCGAAAAAAAGAGAATCGACACTGGTGTCAACTCAAGATCTAATTTTACACGGATCACGAATTGTCCTTCCGAAAACATTACAAAAGCGGACAGTCTCGCCCACGAAGAACAATTGGGTGCAGTCAAAACAAGAAGATAACCGAGAGAAAAAGTGTATTTTACCAGCATTGACAAGCTTGTGGAAATTGAAATAATATGCGTGAATCATTACAAAAGACGTCTCTTCCCGATTCGTTGTTGTTGAAATAATACGATCTACTTCATCGCGAATCGTAATTCCCATACTCGACAAATTATTCTCGGAATATGGTATCTCTGATGTCGGGACATCCGACAATGGACAACTTTAAATACTACAAAGAAGCGGCAAAAGATACAACTTCGGGATATAGTTACTACCTTATACTTAAATATGTTTAGAGTAGTAACTCATTCTCACTTCCGGTCCGATTAGACCTAAATACACCACGAATATTCACTTTTGAGGTATAATTTTTGGTATGTTTGGTTCTTTGATATTTTATCTTCATCGCCCTGTACTTCGTTTAGTAATTCGAGCTTCCCAGTTTGCGTAAAAAGGGAGAGTTTTGCGATTTCGACATCGAAAATGCCTTTGCTTTATTATTTGCTCAAGGACAGCCGCTTAGGTTTGTGCTCTGTAACTTGCAGCACATGAACCTAAAAACGTTAGGTAATCAAACAAAAATGACGTTGTACTAAAATCCAAAAGTTACATTCAAGGTCTCACTTTTTCATAGCATAACAACGATTTGCTACCTCGCTCATTATGACACCCTCAAATCAACTGTATTCCAATCCCCTCAGGAGTCAACAATGGTATATGCCTCCATTTTACGCCATGACTCGAAAAAGTCCTTTTTGCTTGACGTGTTCATTTGCCTTACATTTCAGTGGCTGTCACTGTCGCATTCTGAGTCTTGCCATAACATTTTGGTTCAAATTCACGTAGATATCGCCGGGAAAATCTTTCATTTCTTTGCCAACTAACATGACGGAAATCAAATTAGCATAACAATGGATTTGAAGGTTGTCACTATTTTATTTGACAGCTTTTCACACCGGTGCCACACCACAGACAACTAAAACATTTAAACCTTTGTTGGGAAATTTACGTGTATTAAATTGCGTTTTTAAATCACTACCATACATTGCGTTTTAGAGTCCCCCAAGTTTGTTCCAAAGACTGCAGTCGCACCAGAGATAACCAGAACATTGATTCGTTTCAAAAACATTCGTCGTGAAATAAAATGGGAGCAAGAAATCGCCACGGGCGATTTTTCGGTAGTTTTTTAAGGTGTTATTTTAATCCTTTCTGATGCATATTCAAGAATATTGATGTTTATTGCGATTAGCGTGAATGGGTAGCTTTGTTTCGATAATGGGCTATTATCGCTGTAAACAATGTTAAATTATTTTTCAAGTGCTCAGTTTATCTTTTGCTCAATTTATCTTTCCCATCAAAATCCAAGCAAAAAAATCGTACAACAACATCGGCAAATTTCTTCCGTGCTGCGTTCAATACATTAACATATTTAAATGAGCTATGGTAGTTTGAACACGTTGGCATCATCCATCTCTTTCATTGGTTAAAGGTCAAAACATATTCATGGATATTCATTTCTACAGAATCGAGTGTTGAAATTTTCAATCGGAATCATTCACTTACGATGAAATAAGTTGAAATTTATTTGCATTTCATAACAATTCGGCGAATTTATTTTTTTCACGTTATCATAATCATTACTAGGTAATAATCAACAGTCGTGAAAGGCAGCATGACAGGATTGCGCTTCCGCGATCATTTGCTACTAAGTTGCAGTTGGGTTCGTTTTTATTTGAAACTTCTTTTAGAATAAAATTTCGTTATAAAATGAAACAAAATAATTGTATTTGGCGCACGAGGTTCGTTAATGTGATTTTTCGGGAGAAAAATGCGCGGTCTACTTTTTAACCCAGCAAAAACAAAATGTATAAAATTTAATAAATTGTAATAGTGTCTTTCGTTTTGGGTTGTCCAACTCCCGGCGTTGAAAATCGGTATAGATGGATTTTTCAATGAAAATATAGGCCCCCTAAAATATTTGATGATCATTTTTTGAAAAATTGAACCCCAAATAAAGGCCCACCAGCAATGAAACCGCCCAGGGCGATTATTCGGATGGGCAAATTTACGGCAGAATCCGCTATTTGTTCCCCGGGAATCTATAATCAAATAATACAAATGGTGTCACTAGGCAATATTTTTGGTGTAACTTTACATTTACAAAACATTTAAGTATGTCCCATAAGAAAGTTTCCCAATTTTCTTCCTGAACATGTTTTCAACAAAAGAATTCAGTAGGTAAAAAATGCAACATATTTGGGGAAGGCGCGACATTGCGCTTTTTAACGTTATCCGATATTATCGTCTATAAATGTCAAAGTTAGACAAGCTTTTTTTAGGCAACTATTGGGGCAGTTTGTTTTTCTCCGATATTATCGATAAAATAGTCTATTAATGTCGAAAAATTTCTAAGTTATACATGCCTCTTTAGGCAGTTTGTTTTCCCCGATATTATCGATAATATCGATGAAATTGTCTAATAATGTCTACGTTAGACAGGCCTGTCTGGGCAACTATTGGGTAGTTCGTTTTTCTCCGACATTATCGATAATATCAATAAAATCGTCTAATTAGATCGAAGTTAGACAGGTCTGTCTGGGCAACTATTGGGACAGTTCATTTTTCTCCGATATTATCGTCTAATAATGTCTAAGTTGGACAGGTCTGTCTGGGCAACTATTGGGACAGTTGGTTTTTTTCCAATATTCGACATTATCGATAATATCGGATAAAAACGATCTTCCC